TTTGTATAGCTGTTTTTCATTCTGGCCTCATCGCGTGTACCAACAGCACAGTATGTCCGATTTATAACTGTTGTTGTCATGATTATCTGTGACTAAGAAATTTTGATCTGCTTAGTCATACAGATTTGTGAATGCTCACTGTTAGTAATGATATGTGCCACCAGGCAGTGTTCACTGCCATGGCAAAAGTCATTACTTGTCGCAAGCGGGACTGTCTCGATCAGACATTTCCAGGTTTTCTATTGTCCTCCAACGTGGTGCGACTACGTCGAAGTTACAAATCCATTTCTGTTCTTTTGTGGGTATTTTTTTAAACTAAAGACCACACGAGTGTTTAAGCTTTCCTGACAGTCTTGTAAACCGATGTCTTCAGTGTGTATAGCTAGCTATATATGTAGCCATGGTGCATTGTCATATGCATTTTAAAATAGCGTGGCCACATGGTTAACTCCGTTCTAGCGCGCTTTCAAACCCTACATTCTTTACGTCCAGAATGCTCTATCTTTTGAAAATTTAGCATCGAAAGCCGGCGAATCATTGCTATGGCCTGACAAAGAAGTTTTGCGTTAAACGAGCCGCAGAATCTCTGCAAAATCATGGAAGAAACGACGCAGACGCTGCCAAATCCGTTCGTGAATAACATTCATTTCGGTGCTAGGGACAGAGTAAAAGTACGTGTTTCCGTCCTTTAACCTAACTAAATTGAAATCGGTAGGCACTGATATCATCTTGATGTAACGTAACTGTTAGCGCAAATAAATCGTATGTGTAAATGTCATTAACGTGTCGCTTTATTCATACACCGGGATACATTAATAATCGCTTAACTATACCAAAACTTAATTTTATATTGCATCTAACCATAAGCAATACCTCGCTCCTTAGCAACGACATTTCAGGGGCCGTTTGCATAATATTGCCAGCCAATAAGGTGATGCGTTGTGCATCCAGCACTGCGAGCATTCATACATGATGATGCGTGATCTGCTGAAGTATCCACCCATAGGCAACATTGGAAGGTTTTTATGAAGTTCGCCATGAAATCCGACTGAGAGGAATAAATATTCCTTTTATCCACCGCTGAATGAAGATCTCCAAGAATTCGTCACGAACTTCGTTTCTGTTGTTTTCATCAGTCTTCATCTAGTGAACTTCTTCAGCTCATCCTGCCATCGATCTGAAGGTCTTCCTACGAGTCGTTTATTCTCCCTTGGAACCCAGTTCTGCTGCCTCTTTGATCCGGCGATGGTCGGTTCTTCTTGCAGTATATTCTGCCATTGGCCATTTTGACTTCTTTATTCGGACGATGATGTGGAAGACTCTTGCTTGTGCTCTTACTCATTCATTCGTTTTTCTATCTTTCCTTGTTATTATAAACATGCGTCTTTCCCTGCTGCATTGCCAAGTCTGCGGTTTATGAACAATTTTCAAGCTTGGAGTCTACGCATCCGTAGGTTAGCACTAGGAGCACACGCTTTGCGTCTCAGGCGTAACGACAGTTTTCCCGACAGGAAAATTTTGAGTCTTCATGGCTACTTTTATTTATGTTATATTATGTTGAGAAGTTAATAACACTTTCACGCAAAAGATACTGACCACTTAAACTATCGCACCCCAGGCGAAGTAAAGGAACTACGTTATGCTTGCCGAAAACTGAACGCCATTATATGCATTACGTAGAGAATTACCATCCATACCTATTGGCTTGTATGAACGATTGGCAAAATTATTTCCTGGCGGTACACGTTGAGGTATTAACCGTCACGTGCTAGCTGTTTTCTGTCAAACGTTTGTTTATGTAGCAGCGCTATTGGAATGAAAAAGTAGGTTGGCTATTTTCGGCGATATTATGTTGGCCAAAGAAATAAGTTGGAAAAAAAGCTGCAGTTCTAACAACATAAGTTGCTGACAAAAAAGGGAAAGCTTTTGCTCTATAACAGAACCTAGTTATAAACCAATGGATCGGAAGCAGGCTATTTCCAATAAGCAAGTTTTGGGAAAAATGCAGCTGTATTGTGAAACGTGACTGAAGCTTGAAAATGCGCTACTAACAGGAGAAGTTCTGTTACAGGGTTTGTTTTTATTTTGCATTTATTAACTGAATGTTATATGGGAAAGTTATTTGCATTATTCTTGAGATCAAAACAGAAATTAGCTTAAGCCAATTTGCACTCTCGAGGAAGATCATGTAAATGCATGCATTTGTAGGATTTTGGCTGCTTGTCACCTTGAGAGTTACCATGCGCTTTGTTCTGTCAACCGGATTATGCAAATTTTACAGGTTATGAGTTATTGATGATGCATAAACAGTAACAAGCCTGTGAAGCCAGAGCAGGAAAGATGAACGACAGCTAAATCAGAGATCTTAACTGCCCTCTCCGAGTGGGCATGGAGATCAAGGTGAGAACCATCTGCGAACTACTGGGTTTGACCTCCTATTGAAAATATCTTGAAAAAGATCACTAAGTCCTGCCTTTCATTATGTATAAAAGACTAACATTTACAAATAAATTTCAGC